GCTGACAAGGTGAGGGAAAGTTTGAAAACAGTTTTGTTTCGCCCCGAAAATATCTCCTACTTATGATTAATGCAAAGAAAGTGAGAGAGAGAGAAAGGAGGAAAGAGTAAAATATACTTGAAGGGTTGTATATAAGATTTTCATATAAATTTTTAATAAGGCCTTAATAAAATATTACACAACTTGTTTCGTAATCTGACACTTTTTCTTTACCACCCCTTTCAATTTTATCCTTCTACCAATATATTTCATCGTCCATGATATAAATCATTCTCTCGGCAAAAAATTTGATTATTTTTCTACATTATATATATATTCTCTTTTTCTGAGTATATTAAATCTTCATTGAATGTAAATTGATCTTGACCTTGAAGAAGGGGGTCGCAGAGTATTTTTTTTTACCGCAGGAGTTGTACAATATCTCTTCTTTTTTTTTTTTTTGATAAATTCTTTTATATACACATCAGATTTGGAAAATGGGATTCTAACAAACTTAAGATCAAATTAGATCCAAAAAAGGTGCTTCAATCTCATTTTATTTTTTGGTAAAAAATATTCGTGGTTATTAATAACTGCAATATAAAATAATTAGTAAATATTACTAAAACAATTTCTTTAATAGAGAAATTATTTCTAATTCGTTTTTCCTTTTTTTTTTTTTAGAAAAAGGAAACTTTTTACTTTTACAAAATTTGTAGACTAAATTAAAATTTTTGAAAATTCAGAAATATTTAATAAACAGAGAGATAAGGAAATTTAATTTCATCGCGAATTTACACGATTAAAATAAAGAAGTAAAAAATCGATTGGAAAAATTTTTCTCTCCTATATCCGGTCGTTAAAGAAACGAGTACCAAGAGCATTCAGTTTGCAGGGCTCGTAAAGTAGCGATCGTTTAATAGAATTTGATTTGGCAGCTGGTGTGTCTAAGGTTTTTGGGTTGAACGAACCAATGAAACTTGCTCTTACAGTTTTTCGCAATTCAGAAAGAAAAAGAGAGAGAGAGAGAGAGAAAGAGTGGCAACGAGGGCTATAATCGATAAAAATCGAACGTGTTAAGAAAACCAAAGTAGTTTACAAAGAATTTTTTTCTTTTCTTAAAAAAAATTTTCAAAAATTTCTTTCAAAATTTTGATTTAAAAAAATCAGAAAAAATCTCTGTTAATAATAAAATATAATTTTCGTTTTAATTTTTACCCTCTTAAATTTATTTCATCCTCTTTCAAAATTTTGAATAAAAAAGACAGAAAAAATCGTTTTTTTTTTTAAATACAGTTTTCTGTTAATTTTTGTTGGTTCCAATTTATTTTTCTACAACGATTAGAAAACATTTATTTTTTTTTTATTTGAATTGAGGGCAAAATTACATTTGGTGTGTTATTTTTTTTTTTTTTTCACCACCATCGCCGAAGTCCCCATGGGTATAAAAAAATATATGTGCGTGCAATTACCAATTTTATGTGTGCTATTTTGGACATGTAGAGCTTTATCGTTCCGCGACCTATGGACCAAAGCGTGTGTTTATTTGTGTGGCGTAAAAGTGCTAAATAAGAACGTCCTTTAGGAGCGCTAAGAAATCCCTCGGGTGATTTTTCTTTTTTTTTTTCTTTCCTAAACCCTCGTCTTCCGGCGATTGACGCAATGCGTGGACCCTTTTTTGCAAAACGCACGTAAAACGTAACCAAAATACTTTAACTTTTTATATGTATCAAACAAATTTTTTTTTTCCTTCAAAAAAAAAATTTATTTGATTCAAATAATTGACTATATGACAAAATTTTTATTTCAATCAATTAAACGGTATTTATTTTTAAATACAGAAATTATTATTAAAATTATTATTTTTTTTTTAAATTGGAAAATATAAAAAAAAAGAGAAACGGAAAAATAGTTATTTATTTTTTTGAATGAGAAAATTGTCAAAAAGAAGGAAATAAATTTTTGTGATTAAAAAAAAGGAATAAATAAAGTTTATGAAGAGAAAGGAAATAATTTCTCCCTGACATGAAATTTTAAGATGTTAAAACAAGATAACAATTTGTTTGTCCAAATTTACAGTGCGGGGGAGAATTTAATAAAAACACGTGGACCCATAATCGATTTCTTTCTTTATTTTTTCTAACCAAGGTCGGATTTACGAGTATAATGGATTTATCGCGAGGAAAACAATATTTTTTATTCTCATGTCGGATTGAAAAAAAAGAGAGATCAGCTTCCGTTTTCATGGATATATATATATATGTTTACTCAACAAATTTCAATGGCAGTGCTTGAAAAACGACGTCACGTGAATCGCACGATTAAATATCTTATATATCTTTCTATTGTTGTGCTTGAGGCATTTTTTTTTATTTTCCCCTGATAAATATATAAATATTGTTTCCCGCGTAAATATCCCCGAGGATTGAAATTTATATTTTTCAAAATGTTTAATAAAACAATTGATTATGTATACATACGATTATATATAACTGAAAAAAATTTTTTTTTTAACGAAAAAATTAAAATTTAGCAACTTAAGTTGCCAATAAGTAACAAAAAAAAATAGTAACAATTTTTATTGCCATAAAAAATGCCCAGCAGTTGTTTTAAATTGAATTTCCCCATTTAAGTAGAACAAGTCTGTGTATGGTCAGTCAATATTGCGACTATAACTTTATTTTACAATAACTTGCAATTTTTGAGGACTTTTAAATTATTTTCTAATTGATTGGAGCTCAGTTTGTTAGTTTCAGTAGAACAAGTCAGTGTGTGTTCAGACTAGGCGAATTTTTAACTTGAATTCTTATCATAAATAAAATCTTCTTACATTTTAGAATACTGGATTATTTCTTAAAAACATTGATACTGTTTAGTTTACTATTTTTTTTGTTTTAAGTAGAACAAGTCGTTGTGTGGTCAGACCGAATTTTTGATAATTTTATTTTTAGTATTTCATTACAAAAAAAAAAAAAAATACTTTAATTTTTTTTTAATTCCTTGATACAGATTCGAGTCTTGAGGGATTTTTTCGAATTAAGTAGAACAAGTCAATGTGTAGTCAGACAATACGTATTTTTTAGTAGAACTTTATTTTAAAATAATTTATTTAAGTTCAAAATACATTAAATTACTTTTTTTATTAGATAGACAATAATTGTGCAATATTTTTCGTTAAGTAGAACAAGTCCGTGTGTGGTCAGACAGTTTGAAATTTTTTAAGTGGATCTATCATTGAATGATTTTGAAGCTAAAAAATAATTTCAATACTGTTTCTTCAATTGATATACAATAATAAGGAATATTTTTCATTAAGTAGAACAAGTCCGTTTGTTGGCAGACAAAATAGAATTTTCATATACTAATTGAACTAATAAAAACAAATAAAAGAATTAAATAATATTATAATTTTACAAAATAATAATAATAATAATAATAATAATAATAATAATTATAATTAGAATATATTAATATATAAATTTTTTAAATTTACAATTTTGTAAATTGTCAAAAAATAGACTAATTTAAGATTAATACGTCCCTCGTCAATAAAAAAAAAAAAAAAAAAAATTCCAACAAAGAGGGGAAAACGAGAAGATTCGAAAAGGCAAGTGATACACGAAAGAAAGTGATATTTAAATATGACGATATAAAACAAGTGTGGCACAAGGCCAATGAAGAAAATTTTTAAAACACAGGGTGTGGAAATTTAATTTTGAAGGCGCGCACGTGCGTTTAAAAAAAATAACGCAAAGGGAGTTCTGCTTCTCGTTTTTTTTTTGTCACATCGTTTAATTCTTTTTTTTCCTCTTTATTTATTTTTTTTTTTTTTAGAGTCGCAAGCGCACCAAAGTTTTAAAGGCCACGTATAACACTCTCCTTTCTCTTCGTTCCCCTTTACTGTATTATTATGACTTTTAAGAGAGGGGGAGGGGGTTATTTACGATGGTTATAAATGTCCAGATCTTCCGCAGTTGAGTCTTGCACAAACCACCCTTATGGGTCCGCCCTTTGATGAATTTAACGACTAAGGCGGACGCGCGCGGAGGCAACCTTTGTTGACATCGTGTGCCCATTATTGCCTGAGCTTATGAGTCGCGGAGACGCCGACGAAATATTCAAATTATGTAGCCTTATACTTGATTACGAGCTTCCTTGTAATGTTACGCGTCTCTCTCTCTTACTCTCTCTTACTCTCTCTTACTCTCAGTTTCAAGAGATTTTATACTCTTCCTCTGTTTATTTAAGATCATAAAGTAGAGGAGCGATAGCACAGCATCCATTCGGCAGATAATAGATTGTACTCGACGAGGGTTGAATATTTCTGTTAAAGAGTGCTTAAAATGATGATAATAATGATAATGATGTGAGAAATAAAGTTTCTTATCAATTTGATTAATTATTTAATTACTCTCGATGTCAATTTAAACAAGGAGGGGGTCCTTTATGTTTATTTCATATAAACATTATGCTTCCTCATTGTGTGAAGCAAAAAATTCGCTTCCTCGTGAAGGAAGCAATGAATTTGTCCAATTTAATTGATTGATTTAAAAAATTTCGAGTTTAAAATGTTTTAATTATAATTAAATTTTTTGAAAAATAAAGAAAATTTTAATTAATTTTGAGTGTAACATAAACTTTATATATATGAATCGATTCGTTTTTAATGCAAGGAATACAATTATTTTATTCATCAACTTGAATTTAAAAAAAAACACAAAATTTTTTAGCTAAAATATGAATTTTCGATTTTTTAATTTTTATTAATTCTCAAATTTTAAATCAAATCTTTATATATACCATTTTTAAAAATTTTATAAACGAAAGGACTATATAGCTTCCTCCACAAGGAAGCAAAATGAGTGATTTTTAACAATAATAATAATAATAACTAGTAAAAATATCCTGACTTGGGATATTTAAAATTAAAATATACTATCTACTATAATAATAATAATAAATAAATAAATAAAATTTGAATAATAATATTAATAAGAAATTTTTTTTCTTCTGTTTTGCAGATGGAAGATGAGGGTAATCATGGGAATGATGATACGAGATGCTTTATCCTCTCGACATTGGCAGCTTTACAGTGGTCCAGGGTGTCGTGTGTCCTTTGCCGAGCAGCGATGCTAGTCTTTGATAGGTATCCTCTCGTGGATGGTACCTTCTTTCTGTCTCCAAGGCAACACTCTCACGCCTGCGCTGAGGTAAGATGAAAATAGAAAATTTCTCTACTATAATTATGAAATTTTTAATTAGTTTAATTTTACTGATTTTTCACTAATTAAAAATTTTTAAAACTATTCCTGAGCGATTATCTCAAAAATTTAATTTTTCAAAAAATTTATGTGGACGTAGCTCAGCATCCACTGGACCAATCAAAAAGTGCGCCATACATTTTTTGTTCCGAGACTTTTTGCTCAATTTTTTGGCATTATTTCCGAGTCATTATCTCGCAAATTTTATTTTCCGAAAAATTTTCCGAATTTGTTTTCTACTGTAGGTTAGCATCCACTGGACCAATCAAAAAGAACGGCATACATTTTTTGTTCAGAATTTACTTCTAAACACTTTGGTTATATTAAGAGAGGAATATCTCGCAAATTTAATTCTTCGTAATTTTTTCCGAATTTGTTTTCTACTGTAACTCAGCATCCACTGGACCAATCAAAAAGTGCGCCATACATTTTTTGTTCCGAGACTTTTTGCTCAATTTTTTGGCATTATTGCCGAGTCATTATCTCGCAAATTTTATTTTCTGAAAAATTTTCCGAATTTGTTTTCTACTATAGGTCAGCATCCGCTGAACCAATCAAAAAGAGCGGCATACATTTTTTGTTCAGAATTTTCTTCTAAACACTTTGGTTATATTCCGAAAGGAATATCTCGCAAATTTAATTCTTCGTAATTTTTTCCAAATTTGTTTTCTACTGTAACTCAGCATCCACTGGACCAATCAAAAAGTGCGCCATACATTTTTTGTTCGAGACTTTTTGCTCAATTTTTTGGCATTATTGTCGAGTCATTATCACGCAAATTTTATTTTCCAAAAATTTTTCCCACGATTTTTTGAGTATAACTCAGCATCCATTGGACCAATCAAAAAGTGCCCCATACATTTTTTGTTCGAGACTTTTTGCTCAATTTTTTGGCATTATTCCCGAGACATTATCTCGCAAATTTAATTTTTTGTATTTTTTTCCAAAATTTGTTTTCTAATGTAGCTCAGCATCCGCTGGACCAATCAAAAAGTGCCCCATACATTTTTTGTTCGAAACTTTTTGACTATTTTTTTGGTGGTATTCCCGAATGATTATCTCGCAAATTTCATTTTTCGTATTTTTTTCCGAATTTGTTTTCTACTGTAGCTCAGCATCCGCTGGACAAATCAAAAAGTTGCGCTATTCAATCAATTAATTAATAAATGTATAATTTGATTTTTGTTTTAGGTGAAGGTCGAGGGTCGTACCCAATTTTTATCGGCCGTTTGCATGAATTGCTTGGAGGGTAGCGGAAACGCTCCAGTTCGTTGTCGTTCTTGCACCCAACCTTGGGATGGCTCCAGTCTGGTCCTGGGGACAATGTATAGTTATGATATTTTCGCCGCCATGCCATGTTGCACCGATCGTTTAAAGGTAATTTTCTTTAACCCTCCTTGTTTTATATTAAATTATACTTTTTTCTATTTCTTTAAAATTTAATTTTTTCTCCACTATTCACTTTCTTTTTGTGAATCGATTTCAATTTTTTTTGTTCTAATATTTCGTTTCTTCTTTTATTTTATTTCTTTAATTTCCAAAAAATTTTTTATTTAATTTGAAACTGATTTTACTTAATAATTTTTACAATAAAATCATTTTCAATCAGACTTTATAATTTTGAAAAAGATACCTTATTTTTACAAGGAAAATAATGTTTCTAATTGGAAATAAAAGAAAAGTAATTATAAAAATTGTACCGAAACAAAAAAAATTAAAAGAAAAAATGAGAAGAATGATAAGAAAAATGAAGATAAAAAAGAAAATTGAGAAAAATTAATTTAACCAAAAAAAATTCTATTTTTTTTTGTTACAGTGTAACAGCTGCCAGAAGCCCTTGATCTACCCTCATCAGCGACTGAATTTCTACTCAGATTATAGCCGCGTTTTCGCCTGTCCACACTGCAGAACAATGGACGCTCACTTTGTGAAGCCCCTCTCGTCCTGTTTTACTCGCGAACAATTTCAGCTGTACAGTCAGTGGCCGTAACCACTAGGGAATCTAGTAAACCGCCTAAACACTGCGGGAGACCACCTTTCCTTGAATCCACTGCTAACATTACTCCGGGCAACGTTACTTTAGATACTTTTTTTCAATTAACAGTAAAATACACTCATACACAGACACATAATACAAAAAAAAAAAAAAACAATACACATACAAAATTCTTTCGTTAACGAAGAATACAAGGAAAAAAAATCAGGGGAAGATGGCCTACTTAATTAAAAAAAGAAAAATTTTTTGAAAGAAGAAGAAAAAAACAATAAAAGGTGAGCGCTTGTACCGGAGACTTCGCTCGAACGAACTTCGGTGATAATTAATAAAAAAAAAAAATTATTAATTAGGGTCGATTTATATCAATAATAAACGTTGGATAGACAAGATAATAAAAAAAAACATGTTTTTTGCAACGATTCGAGACTGACGGACATGTTTCACCGCGGACGCCCCGGCTGAGATGTGGTAAATCTTTCTCATGAATACGTCTTAAAAACAAAACATCATTTAAGATTGATTTATAATCATAAATAAATCCATCAATTAGTATACTTCTAGGCAATTTTTAGTTTTTTTTTTAAATGACGTTTTTTGGTGTTTTGACTGAGGCATGTTTTTTTTGTAATTTCATTTGACTCGAAAAAGTTGACTTTTTTTAATTTTCTTTTTAATATCATCGTTTTGTTTCTAAATAAGGAAATTTCAAAAAAAAAAAAAAAAAAAACTTTTTCAAAATATTTTCTTTTTATTCACTAAACTTTAAAAAAAAAGTTTCTGTTTATTTTAAAGAATTACATTTCAATTAAATGTAAAAACCATTGTTTTTAAAAAAATTTTCTGACAATATTCAACAAACGAAAGAAACAAAAAGTAAGATTAAAAAAAAAAAGTTTTAAAATTAATTATCTCTGAAAACTTTCCAAAAATCGAGTCGCTGAAATGAATTTATTTGCAAAAACAAAATTAGTTTCATAGAAAGAAAATTAGAAAATTTGATATTTTTCCAAATTCGAGAAACTGGAAAACAAAAAAAAAAAAATTAAATTTTTTAAAATTAGTAAAATTTTAAAAATCGAAAATAATTTTTCAAAAAAAATGCCATTTCTCAATAATTGCAATAATTTTTTGAAAATGATGATTTAATTATGAATACAAAGAATATTGATTCACAATATAGTTTAATTTAAAATAAAATTATTTTAAATTTAGAATTATTTTTATTTGTTAATTTAATTTATTTTTTTAGAACATTAAATAATGAATTTGATAATAATAGAAGAAGAAAAAAAAAAAGAAAACTTGATTGGGTCAAAAGAAGCTTGCATCGTATGCATGGAGAAAATGTCACATTTCTTTTTGAAATGAAGACTTTTTTTTTTATCTTCGGCGTCCACTGAGAAATGTCGCCGTCTTCCGTGCATTTCGCTTAAACAAAAACGAAAAAAAAAAAAAAAATTTTTTTTTTCTTTTTGCACAAAAACCGATATGCACGAAGTTTCGGAAAAGTGGCAAGTGCCCTCCCCCCGCCCCCCGTCTCATCCGATTATTCAAGCTCTACATATTATATAAAAATATATTAAAAATTATGTATTATTGAAAGATTAAATGTCATTTCAGCATATTGTAGAAAAACCACTTCGTATGAGGGGGAAAAAAAAAATACTATTGTTTGTTACTTAGATAATCGATAACGTTGTTTTTTTACATTTTATTAGTTTGTACGTTAACGCGGCCATGTTATTTTGTTTAAGGATCTGCAAAACTCGTGCGAATTTTATTCGCGTTTGAGACAGCGTCCAGCCCGCGCCTTTGAGAAAACGATCCCGGTTTTATATCACTATATATACATAAATATATATATTTAAAAAAAATAGAAAATCGTTTCATTACAAAAAAAAAGAATGATACAATGTGTATCATTAATTATAAATTAAATATTAAATACTTAATATAAATCATTTAAAAAAAATATTGCTAATTATCAAGTACCTAAGTTCAGAAAGTATAAAAAAAAAAAAAAATACTAAGTTTGAAATTTATACTATTGAAAGTTGATAGAGCGAGAGCGAGAATGAGAGAAAAAAAAATCAAGAGAAAAGAATATACAAATGAGATAAAAATCAGGAAACGTTTTTTCTTAACTAGCAATTATTATTTTTTATTATTATATTATTATTATATAAGATTCCTGAAAGTCTCGGTGAATTTTGTATTTTAGTCCCAATTTATCCCTATTGGATTTTTTTTTTTGCTTTCATACTGTATTAATTTCTTTTTAATATATTATATTTTTAATTGTATTTTGTTTTGTTTTTTCTATACTATTCCTGAAAATTTATCTCACGAAAAAAGTGTTTAAGATATGTTTTTTTTTTTTTTTTTGGTGGAAAGAAATCGAGCGTTTTTTCAAAGTGGCGCAATTTGGTAATGCCAATGGCTCTTTTAAATGTAAATACAAGAGCCATGGCAAAGTCAAATTTCTAAACAAAATGAAAAAAATAAAAATTTTTGTTGGCGATGCTGGTCGTTGCTATCGACTCATAGCGGCCGTATCCAAAAAAAAAAGAAAGAAATGACCGCTTTCATGATATGAAGTAGTCGATCTTGTACCTCTTTACGTTATTTTAAAATATTGCATTTAAACTCTACTTAAATGTGTGAAAAAAAAGTAGTTAAAAACATATATATTTAGCCTCGAGTAACTTTTTGATATTTCAATTTTGATAAATTTTTAACATTTTCTCTGCGTCCTTCTGTCAATAATTAATGCGAAAAATTCGGAAAAATTCAATATTTTTTTTTCAATGAAAATTCAATTAAATAATTAATTATTACTTAATTAATAATGAAAAGAAGTTATCATTAAAAATTGGTGACTAAAATTTGAATTTTTTTTTACATTTTGTTAAAAAAAAAAAAAAACTGTTGAAAAATGATTGTATGAAAAGTAATTTTTCTTCCTTCAAATTTTCCGATTTCGAGCATTAATTTTTCCTCACGAGAGAGAGAGAGACTGATGCAGTTAATTAAATCAACGCTAATGAAGACTAACGATTAAAAACCGCGAATAAATGGAATATCACACAAAAAACGTTACTGAGGGTACTGGCTTAAAAAAAAATGCGGAAAAAGAAAAAAAAAAAGAATTTTGGATAGCCACATTTTGTTCGAATGTTTCTCAGAGTGCCAAAAGTGACTCTCGAACAAAGAGGATCGTTTTTTTTTAAAACATCATGGAAATTTCATTAGAGCTAAATAAGTGAAAAAAAACGAAATTATTCAGGTCATAATGAAAAAAAAAATTCTATACTTAAGGTAAAACTTTATAATGAAAACAACACAAGTTTTATTATATATGTGAAACTTGGGAAAATCAGAATCTTCCTATTTTTGAAAAAGGGTGAAATTTTCTTTTTTTTTTTCTTTTTTTTTCGAAATATTTTTACTTTCCTCGACGTAGCTAAGAGTCATTCTAGCCAAAAAGTAATTATTTCTAGATAAACGTAATTGTAGGTTACTTAGTTGTGTCGATGTACAAAAAAAAAAAGAAAAAAAGAAATTTAAGTTAACGCAAAAAAAAAAATTTGCAATGAGTTGTTGTAATGAAAATTAGGTTCAATTTGTTAATTTTCGTTGCCCCACCCCCAATTAGAGGTGATTTTTGTTTTCAATTATTACTAACATTAAAAAAAGTAAATTCAATCAGTTTTTTTTGGCAAAAGCGTTTCGAAACCAAAAAATTCAAACTGAAATCAAAACAAAATTAAAATTGCAAAAAAAAAAAATTAATTTAAAAATAAACGACTGATTGAATTTAAATAAGAAACTTTTATAATTTACTGAATTCATCTGGTTATCCAAGATAAAAAAAAAAAAAAAAGTTTCGAGAGAAAAAAAAATGAGCGTGCGAAATTTTTTAAATACTAAAAAATTGCGTACTCCCTACTATTTTCAATTCAGTTCCTAAAACCACGGCCGCATTAATGATGTCATATTATTAAATGAGGGACGAGAAAAAAAAAAGCGCTGGAAAGAAGTTTAATGTTGCACGTTCCCGTTTTTTTGCTTTTTTAGCCTCGCCACATCCTCCCAGAAGCTCATTGATAAATATTTTACGATTCAAAAATAATCTTCTATTGTTAAAAAAAAAAAAAAATTCATTATTTAGAAAAGAGATTTAAAGATTCTGATGATGATATTGAAATATAAATAATGAAGTTAAAAGTCTATTGATGAATAGACTTTCTTTTATATATGAATTTTTAAATGAAGATTTGTGAAGTTAACAAACTTTGAAGATCATAAAACTATAACAGAATTAAACTAACTCAAAGCTAAGAAAATTTAAAAGAAGCTATATAATTTTCTAGCCACGAAATGAAGCTAAAAATTTCAAAAATTCAGCTGTTTCAATTTTTGAAAGCCAATGAAAGAAGAGATAAATAAAAGAAGATAATAAAAATAAGAAGAGAAAAGAAAGATGATAAAAAAAAAAGATTGAATTTCTTTTTTTAAATAAAAAAAATAATTTCAATTATTGTATTATCCAATTGAGTTTTCTATTCCACGTTGAGGCACTGGCGAGGCATTTTTATCTCCCTCCCTCCCCCCACTTTTTTTTTCCAAGTGGAACAGCGTTTATATTATCACGTATAATATCGAAGAAAAAAAATTCATCATTTTGTGGAATGAAGGGCACGCGAACGTTAAACCGATTCGATCGCGCCTAATACCATGAAAAAAAAATGAAGTATACCAAAAGTCCCTAATCAAATCGACGTACCTATAGAAATAGGAAAGAGAAAAAAAAAGGAAATGGCAAGTTAACGAAAAGGAAAGAGTTTTTTTTTTTTTTAATCGAAGAAAAAGAAGAAGAAGAAGAAAATCGTTGATTTTTTTCAACGAAATGATTTTGAAAAAGAGGATGAAAAATATTGTAATACATATAGCTGTTAAGAGGGTTTTGACGCTCCATATATCTGGCATATAGAGCGAGAGAGAAAAAGAGAAAGAGAGAGAGAGAGAGAAGGGATGAAAAAGGATTTACTTTTATGTAAATCCTATTGTCCCGTGAATATAAAAGTAATAAGGTCCGCGAGTCTTCTAAAAAAAAAGAAACATAAAAAAACAAAAAAAAAAAAACAAAAAAATGCT